CCTAAACTCTAAACCTTATAAACCCTAAACCCCAAACCCAAGGGAAAGCCCGTGGGAACCTCCGACTTTCGCCGGGGCCGAGGCGAATGTAGAAGCCTAACGAGCTACCATTTTCTATCCTTCGGCCTTAGGGTTCCTCGTTGCAACAGAAGGTAGAATATTGCCCCAAAACCCTAATTCTAATTATGATGGCCCCCATATCATAAAACCCTACTATAGATGTATTGTAGAACCCTTTAAGGAAGCCTTGAAGGAACCCCACAACCCTCGCGTGTTCCTCTTCTGCACCCGGAAAGGCAGCTCAGTCGCAGCAAGAGCACGACAACATGCTCCGAAAGGCGCGGCGTGCCGGGGTTTTAGAGAGGTTCCAGAAGTTTCTTCCAGGATTCTACAAAGCCTAAACCCTAGACCCTAAACCCTAAACCCTAAACCCTAAACCCTAAACCCTAAACCCTAAACCCTAAACCCTAAACCCTAAATCCTCAGCCGTGGGGTCAAAAATGGTTCCAAAGGTTCTAGATGGGCTCTGGAAGGTTTTGTGTAGGGTTTGTTGATGGGGCTTTGGGGTCTAATATAGAGGCCTTAATAATCAGAATCGGGTTTGGGGGTATATTATACTGTAATTATAATAAGGAACCCCGAGAACCCTATTCTAATGATTAAGGCCCCTACATGCCCAGAGCTTGGGTTTTTTCCCCTGACGTTGGCTCTTGTTTGGGGCCCGTGGTAGGGTTGGCCCTGGCCCCGGGTCTTCTGGGTGCCCTGGGTCCTTTGGTCTGGTCCGGTCCCTGCCCACAAAAGCTTCATACTTAGGGTTTAGGGTTTAGGGGTTTAGGGGTGTAGGGGTTTAGGGTTAAGGGTTTAGACAACAAGAGCAAGCGCTGTAATTATAGTATTTGCAACTTGGTAGGGTTGGCCTAGGCGCTTGGTCGCAGAGGGTTGGAGGCACGGGGCCACAATACAGGTCCCGTAGATTTGGAGTTTTTACGGCCTTGGGGTGTAAGGTTGAGGGCCCAGCTTTAGGTGTAGGCTTTCAGGCTTGGGTGTTGAGCACGTCATCTTTTGTACAAACTTTGCATTCTTGTGCGCTCGGTCGATCTGCAGCTTAAGATCAGGGCTGAGTTTGGGGGAGGAGGTGACCTGAGGAGGTGGGGTGGCAATAGCCCTAAACCCTAAACCCTAAACCCTAAACCCTAAACCCTAAACCCAAACCCTAAGGAAGTTCCCATGGGCGGTCATTGAAGTCACTCCACCAGCCAAACCCTCGACCCCGAAGCCCCAGCCCCACAGCAACACCAAGGCCCTAAGCCCTAAAAACCCTAAATCCTACCCTAAACCCTACACCCTAACATAACAGTCTTCTATCTTTCAACCTAAAACCCTATTAAAAACGCTAAAACCCTAAAGCCCTAAACCCCTGTACTATTCCCTAAAGCCCTAAATCCCCGACACCCTAAAACCTTAAAGCCCTAAGCCCTCCACCCCAAAAGCCAAAACCCTAAACCCTAAACCCTACAAGCCCTAAACCCTAAACCCTAAACCCTAAACCCTAAACCCTAAACCCTAAACCCTACAAGCCCTAAACCTTGTTTAGGCCCTAAGCCCCAAGCCGTCTCAGGTGGAGCAGCGCAAGATCCAGGCCGCGCTGAAGCAGGCCGTAGAGCCGGACTTCATGCCGAGGACTTAAATGGGGTTTAGGGTTTAGGGTTTAGGGTTTAGGGTTTAGGGTTTAGGGCTTAAATGGGACTGCTAATCGACTTTAGGTTTATAGGGTTTAGGGTTTTGAAACCCCCGACTTCATGCCGGGGGCTTAAATAAGGCTTAGGGTATGTAGGGTTTATAGGGTTTAGGGTTTTAGCTGACTTGCCGACTTCATGCCGGGGGCTTAAATAAGGCTTAGGGTATGTAGGGTTTATGGGGTTTAGGGTTTTAGCTGACTTGCCGACTTCATGCCGGGGGTTTAAATAAGGCTTTGGGCTTGTAGGGTTTAGGGTTTATAGGGTTTAGGGTTTATAGCGTTTAGGGTCGAGGGTTTATAGGGTTGAGGGCTTATAGGGTTTAGGCTTAGGGTTTATGGGGTTTGTAGGGTCGAGGGTT